CTCATCTATAAAATGGGCGTAATAGTGGCTTCTACCTCTTAGAGCGGCTCTGGGGGTTCAGTTAATTCGGGAACAGTGCCCGGCACTTGTGAGGTGCTCTGAAGACCGGCTATTCGTCTCCAAGTTGGGACTTCTCCCTACATCGGTGAAACGTGTTTTCTTTCCACTTTACTCAACAGCGGACAGCTGTGTGGTGAGGTCTTTCTGTGAGAGGGGGCAAAGGAAGGACGGGGTCCCGGGGGTTCGAGGTACAAGCTCTGCTTCCTGAGCCTTTAGCGGTTCTTGGGCAGGATGATTTCCCGTATTTGATGTGACTGTCACCGTATTATGAAGCAGCCGACCTCCCGCTCCCCCGAGGAGGGGCGAGGAGGGGCCGTGTCACCTGAAGGGAATGTTCTGGCCTAGGTAAGTGGCCGTTAAGCTATTTACTGCCTTGATCACACACAGCTTAACAAGCACGTGGCCTTGCCTTCCCTTCCCTGGGAAATCCACCAGCTCCTTGCTGCCTAAGGCTCTGCTTCTGTCGGTAAGTCTCCTTAACAAATTCTTGATGTAATTCTGGAGTTGTCAGCCTCCTTTTGGGGTGTCTGGCTGGTCCTGGAAATTTTCACAATTGGGGAGCCAGCCAGGAGGCTGGAGAAACGGGAAAGGGAAAAAAAGCCTCTGAAAGGGAGATTCCGTGTGGGGACTGGTGGCCCGTGTGCTGGATGCCTGTGTCCCACTCTGTGAATGTGGGGCCCTGGAAAATGTTGCCCTGCTGTCCCACTGTGTGAGTGTGGGGCCCCGGAAAGCACCGCCGGGCTGTCCCACTGTGTGAGTGTGGGGCCCCGGAAAGCGCTGCCGGGCTGTCCCACTGTGTGAGTGTGGGGCCCCGGAAAGCGCCCCCGGGCTGTCCCACTGTGTGAGTGTGGGGCCCCGGAAATGCTGCTGGGCTGTCCCACTGTGTGAGTGTGGGGCCCCGGAAAGCAGCCCGGGCTGTCCCACTGTGTGCGTGTCGGGCCCCGGAAAGCGCCGCCGGGCTGGAGCCTGTTTGCTGGGTGGCCCTGGCCCACTGTGCAAGGAAGGGCCGGGAATGGACACTCCAGGAGGCCGGCGCTTTAAGGGCAGCTGGGCTGGTAACCAACGCCTTTTCAAGGTGGCAGTTAGGAAACCAGAAGGGGAAAAGGATGTATGTTTTTTCACCTCCCTCTTGACTACTAACTCAGCTGAGAAAGTTGAGGAACAAGATACCGAAGCCTGCCGCTTTGTAAAACTGGGAGGAAGAAAGTTAACAGCGGCCACAGACACAGGCAGTAGCCAGGGAGCTGGGATGGGATGCGAAGAACCTGGGGCCTGGGGGAGACTAGAGGGGACTTCCTCCTGCTCCCTCCAGGCTGTGTCCTTAGCGCCTCCAGGTGCCGCGCTGGCGTTTGGGGACGCGTCACTTCCCTGCCTGACCTCTGAAAGGAGCTCTTTATGTTGATGGCATCATGTGAACAGGTGACGATTTCCTTTCGCAGGAAACTCAGTTCCTTATGCCGTCACCTCCGAGACGGAGGATGGGCAATGAGTCCACACAGGTACAAGGCCCAGGATTCTGTCCAATTCCCTGCTGTGGTTTGGTGGGTGAGACGTGCCTGGTGCTGGGGTCATGGTGGATAAAATACCAACAGCTCCTATTCCCAAACATGGAAAGAGTGGACTCTATTGGGAAAACCCTCGTGGGGCCAGCAACTCCGGGAAGAGATCTGGGGCGGACCCCAGGCCCCCCGAGCGGATCTCGCTGGGTTTCGGGTCCCTGCCCCTTCTGAAGTGTCGCCCCCAGTAATCTGGAAGCGGGTGCTTTGGCCCAGATTAAAACCTTGGTGCCGACACAAACTGCAGATTTAGCCCCCTGGGCCCGTCAGAAGAGTGGATCGAGGGGCAGAAGCAGGATGGAATATTGCAAGGGGCAGGGCGGTGGGGGTGGGGAGGAGGCAGGGTTGCCTAGAAAGTACGGCGATGTTTTAGCAGCAATAAAGATGGCCAGGGTTGCTCCCGTTTACAACTAAGAAAGCTGCCTCATCCACCTGGGCACATGCATAAAGCCAACAACCCAGTGAAAGACTGGCAAATAGATGAATTATATTGGCCCCTTGCCGACTAGGAAGGCTCAGAATGTGCTCTCACCGGTGTAGCCACAGCTGCTGCCTGTTACAGGCTTCTCCTCGGAGACGGGCAACTCGAAAGGCAACTGCAAAAGGGTGATTAACATTGAGACCAGGAGGGACCCCGTGCCACGTAGATCCAGGACCTCATTTCAGGGACATGACATCCAACAGTGGGTACCAGATAGTGACACTGGATGGAGGTTCTGTCTGCCAGGTAACCCTCAAGCCGCAGGAGGAACAGAAAGGGAAAATGACTTCGCGGAGACAGCAGACACGACTGTGAGGAAAAGGCTCCCTGGCTGGGTAGATGAAGGGACTGGAGGCAGAGCTCGCTCAGCTGAATGCGAACTGCATAGGCCTGTGGTGCGGTGACAATGGGCACACCTGGGGAAGCCCTGGCTACACAGGTAGGGAGGGAGGCGCCTCTTGTAATTGTGCAATCATGCCCGAGGTTCTGGCAGGACAGTGAGCCCCAGGATATCGGACTCCATTGTCACTGATGCCCGGACACGGCATAATTGCTTTAATATGGAAGGTGCCAGCTGGCTGGCTGGGGTATTTTTTGTCATGAACGAGGCATCCTCAGTCCTCCTTAGACTCCTGTTCTCCTGAGAGCTGGCCCTCTAAAGAGATGCTGTGCATTCCAGGTGGCCAGAGCGATACCTAGAGGTACCAGTATCAACCCTAACCTGGCACAGTACCCCCATAGGGACCCTTCAGTTGGCTCGGGTGCCCCCTTGGGTCAACATGTCTGTATGCCCCTCCCTTTCAGAAGCCTGCAGCAGCAGCGCCCACAGAGATGAGGCCACCAGCATTATGTTAAAAGATGGCCTCCCTACAAGTTCCAACTAAACACCTTTTTGTTTGCCCCTAGCTGCTGCTGCTCTTTTTTTATTCTTTATTTCTTAAAGCAGTGGTTCTCAACCTTCCTAATGCCGCGACCCTTTAATACAGTTCCTCATGTTGTGGTGACCCCCAATTTCATTGTTACAAATTGAACATAATTAAAGCATAGTGATTAATCACAAAAACAAGATGTAATTATATATGTGTTTTCCGATGGTCTTAGGCAACCCCTGTGAAAGGGTCGTTCGAACCCCAAAGGGGTCGCGACCCACAGGTTGAGAACCTCTGGACTTTATTACATAAGTCTCCCCCCCCCCATTGACAGCTCCCCAGTCGCTCCCACCCCCCAGCACATGCCCAAACCCCCCTAGTGTCTGTGTCCATGGGTTATGCTTATATGCATGCGTACAAGTCCTGTGGTTGATCACTTACCCCTTCACCCCCACCCTCCCCTGCCTTGCCTCTGAGGTCTGACGGTCTGTTCGATGCTTCTATGTCTCTGTTCCTAGCTTCTTGATGTTCATGTGTTGCCTTCAGGTGACCTACTCAATGCAACCTGTTCCTGTGGCTCATTCATATGCCCCCATTCCCTCCTGCTGGGTTTGTGGCTAAGTACCTTGCTTTGTCCTGTAGACCTGCTCTCGCGTTGGGTTGGCTCTTGGGCATCCTGCTGGAAATGGCCTCTCTTTGTTCCTTTTGTCGTCCTTGCGATTATTTCCCCCCCTCCCCGCCCCCTCACGTGTGCTTATTCTTGGGCCATACCAAATTATCAACTTAAAAATCAACCTATGTTTGGGCAAACATTTAAGTAACTCACCCCTCATGCCTTGCAAGGCCAGACCAAATGATTACATTTCACAGGCCTTATACAGCCCTCAGGTGGGGCGTTCCCCACCCCTGGTCTCTAGTGTGGACAACTGATGTCACAAAAGGGACATCTCTGTTCCTCCACCCAGAGGCCATCGTGGCAGAGGGGGTCACATGCGATTGTAAGAGCAAGCCAGGAGGGACGGAGTCAGGAGAAATGATTCCTGGTACTTCCTGTGACCGCTGCCATCTTACGAAGCAAGCTGCCCACCAGGGGGCTAGGAGGGGGGCGTATCACCTGAAAGGAACGTTCCCTCGCAGGTTAGCGGGCCCACTGCTTACTGCCTTGGATGATACAGCTCTTAACAAGCCCGCACCTCCTGGCCACCGGCCCGTTAGCCTGTGCCACGTGGCTGCATATATCCGGCCGCTGTCCTTTCCCTGCACAAGCCCACTGCCCCCAAACTCTGCTTCTGTCTCTCAGTTTCCTAACAAACTCTGGAGTTGCCAGACCCTTTCTCAGGTCTTCTTGGCTGGGTGGATGCAGGTACTTGAGGCAGCTTCAACTCATCTCAATGCGGGCTCCATGGGGCCTGTGTAGTTAGCATTAAGATGTGCTGACGACAACTGGGAACCCTGCGGGGAAGCCCTGCTTTAGCCCCGGGGAGCATTTCATGGCAGCAGCCCAGCTGCGGGACCCTCAGGGCTGACGGGCTTCGCGGGGAAGCCGGGGAGAAAAAGCTCCAAGGACGTTTTGCTTTTGGAACCGGGCTGGACTCTGTGTTGGGGTCTGGTGTCCCCAGCAGGCCCGGCAGCTCGGGGTCCTGTCAGCAGGTTCCCACACGGCCTGCAGGAGCATCAGCACCTTCCCCGGTTCCTCAGCACCTCCAGGTACAGCTCCCTGCAACCAGCCCCTTCACCAAGGCCGCCATTTCTTGGGGGAGGTAACTAACGCCTGCTTCCCTCATTGGGAACCCGGAGGTCCTTCTCCCGTGATGTGAGGAGCTGAGGAGACTGGAATAGCAGCTGTATCAGGTGATAAACCGTGTTTAAAACTAAGTAGGTTTCACAGAATGCGACCATTTAGTAAAATGCCTGGGCCTGGGGCAAGCAGGCTCCACAGGATGGGTGGGAGGTGGCCTGTTGGGGAAAAGACAAAATCTGCCTGTTACCTGGGTCCCGCCCCGCCCGCAAAGCAGTAAGACGTTCAGCCAGGTCCAAGAGGTGAAGTTCCTGTTTATTGTTGCAGCAACTCTTACAGACATTAGCGTTCAGTTAAATAAAGGAAGAGACCACATTAAATACATCACAACCCCCAACACACCACGGAGGAGGGGAGGGCGGGCGGGCCCCAGTGACCAGACTGTCGGAGGAAGTACATTCAGTGGGTGTGCGGCGTCCACATTCCAGGCTCACGTGTATATATACTTTATTTATATATTTATTTATATTTATATATAGAGATCATTGGGTTCTGTGTATACAAAGAACAATATCGGTACAAATACAATACTATATTCTCCCACTGCTTTACAATAAGCTCTATTTTACCCTCTTTACAGAACAATAGTACAGGTTCGTCCTGGAAGGGGCTGTGCTGGGTATGTACACAAAACCTCCTTCCCACACCTCCTTCTGCGCTGCCTTGAGGGTGTGTGTGTGTGTGTGTGTGTGTGTGTAGGTCGGCCAAACCAGGAAAGGAGCAGACAGATAATCGCAAAACAAGTGGCATGTGAGTGGGAGAGTGAACAGGTGCATGGGGAGGTGGCCCTTGGTTGTAAACATTGGTGACAGCCACACCCCTGGCTCGTGGATGGTGTCCTCAGTGTGCGGATGGGGCGTGGGGGTGACGGGAGCCATGGGGGAGGTAGTAGGTTACTCTGGGACCCTCAGAGGCCGGTGTGCATGGGTCATGTTCACGAAGCAGAGCCGTCTGCAGGGCCTCGGAGTCCAGCCCCCTGGGGGCCCCAGGCCCAGCAGAGCCTGCTCCAGTGAGGGGAGGGGACTCCAGGCATCGATCTTGGGGGTTTCCTCCACTTGGGAACCCGAGGCTGATGGTGGCTCCCTGAAATGTTCGCATCTGAGAAGGCGAGTGGGGTGGGTACCGGTGCATGCTGGCTGGACCAGGAAGGGAGCACAGGGGCGGGGGTAGTGGGGGAGCTGGGAGTCATCAGCATGCCTCACCGAGCGGCTCTGCGCCCAGGCCATGTTTGGGATGCTCGGTACGTGGTCTTGCCCATCACATGGGTATCCAGATGTTCACATGTACAACTGTTCATACTGGAATGTCAGGGGACACTGACCACCACTTCCCACGGGGCTTCCAAAACCAAAGCTACTAACATGTAGGGTCCTGCCTCCTGGTGAACCAAAGGGAGCTGCACTTCCTCCCTCGGTGGGTGACCATGTGCCGAGCTCATACACATGCGCTTGCTGTGTGTGCGGGGCCACTCTTAGCAGGAAGGAGGGTGGTAGGGAACGATCCTCCTTGTAGGCAAGGCCATGTCACTCCTCTAGGCGAGCTTATCAAGTTGCCTTTTCCAGCCCCTGGCAAACTTCCTAAGTTTTCCGTGCAGTAGCACAGAAAGGGGGTTCTCTCTTCTCCCTCTTTGGGTGAAGACACGCCACTGTAATTACTGGGAGGCTGCAGAGGGACAAGCTAGCGGAGTTTCCATCCCTGGCCCATCTCGGCGGCTTCCGAACAGGCGCTTGGGCAGGTGGCCCCGCGGTCACCCTGGGGGCAGACAGGGGAGCCCTCCGAGGATTCCCCAGGCTCCTGAGGCCTGAAATGCCACCCATGCCGCTGCATTCATGTTTCACGACTCTTTCTGGCAGAGGACGTTGAACTGTGACTCTGTAGTATTTCATTACAGCACCAGCCACTCTACAGTTGGAAAGTGGGAACCGGGACCCAGGGTTCCTGACTGCCCACCGGCTCCCCTGGAGGAGGCGCCGCCCCTCCTCCCCAGCGCTCTGACCACACACCGAGCGAGCCATCGCCACTGATGGCTTTGAAACATTTGGCTTTCCTGACTCGAGGCAGAAAACTCAGAAGGTACAGAGATCCCCAGAGAACAGACGGAACACAGCTGTCTGGTCCAAGTCTCCTGCTCCTCATCTTTATATTCGCTCTTCTCCCTCCCCGAAACCCCTCCACATTCGATCTATAAATACATACTACCCAGCATGTGCTCACCGACTTCCTGCTCCCACAAACACAACATAAATATCCCACGTGCAGAGAACAGGGACTATATTAATATTACAAAATATATTAGTTTCTCTCTTCCCCGTCTCTGCGGAGGTCATGAACAAAACACAACAAAAACCAAGCCACACCCCATCCACATGAAAACAAAATGCTCTTTGGACCAAAGAATAAAAACTGGCTCAGAATAAAATTACTAAAATATTTTCACCGAACTGAGATGGGACTCATACACATGAGGCACCTGATTAAAAAAAACACGTAACACTCCACACCGATTAAACGCTCAGACCCACGAGGCAGCAAGGGAAGCTTCGGGAGCACGCTGGGGACTCGGGCATAGCTTGAGGTCATGATTGTCCCCTTAGTTCTGTGGTTTATGTGCTCTCCTGGCTGTTCACAGGTCGAATACTGCCTAGTGGCTCTGAGCAGAGGAGCAAATGTCACACAAACGCACCTGCATCCCCGTCTTCCAGGTGAGCAGTCCTGCCTTCCCAGGCTCCCTGTGTGTGTGTGTGTGTGTGTGTGTGTGTGTGTGTGTGAGCGGGGAAGGGGAGCCACCAGAACACTGAGCCCAGATGGTGCTGGCAGGGCTGGGCCTGAGCCACAGAAGGGCATCTCTCCTAGGACAGAGCTGACCAGCCCAGGGTCTCAGCAGCCAGGGGAGGGGGGCTCACACAGAGGTAATGGGGGTTCTCCAGGGGCTCCGTGTGCCTCCTGGGTGGAGGGGAGGAGGGAAGGGTGATATATATGTGAGACTGTGTGTACATACAGGTGGGTGACATGGATGGAGGCAGGCAGCACCTGCCCACGTTCATCTAACAGTGTGTAACCTCAAGACAACCCAGAAGCTATGATGTCCCAGGAATTGCCAACACATGGTGACATCCTTGGGGGAGGGGCTCCTATTAGAAAACAATTGTGTTGAAATTGGAACTATAAAAGGAGCCTTAGGTCGGCTCAGAAATTCTGGGCAGAAATAATGTACGGTGCCCCACGTACATGGTGGGCTGGTCTGTCACCACTGTATTCCCACACACTTACTCGAGGAGAGCAGAGGTCAGTGATGGGCTTGTAGGCACTGCTGAGTCAGCTGCTTGCTGTCCTCCGAGCTCCTCTAAGAGGCCGGCCCCTCTTGGGAAGGGAGCATTCCCCCTTGGGCGGTGCCAGCCCCCGAGGGCCCTCAGGACAGTCCAGTCCTGGGCAGATACCAGGTGGATACTGGCTGCTCTCCATCCTCAGGGGAGTGCATACAAAACTTCCCTGGTATTAAAAAAAAAAAAAAAGTAAACAGGAGAGAGACAGAGAGCAAAGTCTTGACGGATTCCTTCCTTCCTGTGTAGACCGAACGCTGGGCACGAGGGGAAGTCTCAGTGGGCACACAGATGCAGCACGAGAAACACAACCACAAGCGAGGAGAGTCCTCCATGCAAGCGCCGGGCGGTGGGCGCGGCCTCAGATGTACACGGGCTGCTCCTGGGCCGTCAGCAGTCTGTACATGGCAGCCGGCATCGTCTTCATGTGAATCTGAGGGCAGAGGCAGACGTTAGTAGGGGTGGAGGCTCGGGGGCCCAGGGCTGGGGGAGAGCGGTACCTCCCACCACGGGTGGGTGTGAAGATTCCTCCCAACCCCACTGCTAGCAGGAACCTGCCTCCAGGAAAAGTTGCATCCACAGGCTTTCTAGAAAGCTAGGAGGAGGCGGGACAGGATAGCCATGAAGACCGGGTCAGGTTTATTTCCCAGCCAAGTGCTTTTGTTCTCATCGGGCCTTTGTGGAAAAAGGAGAGAAGTCTTAAAATGGAAGTAAGCGCCTGCGGGTGCCGACTGCTCCTCTTGCCGCCCTCCCCGCCAGCTGGGTGGTGCAGGAAATGAGTTGTGAACAGCCCTTCTGACCCGGGCCCAGCCCCTGCCAGGGACCCCCCTCTGGAGACCTGCTCTGCTCATGAGACTTGACTCTAAGACTTAAATCTCCCAGGCACCTTTGGTGAGGTTCGCTGGGGAGAAACAGTTGGGCAGCCCAGGAGAGGAGAGAAGCTGCACAAACCAGAGCCAATAGGAGGCGTTGAGGTGGTTTTGTTTTGCTTTGTTTCCTTTCAGATTGCACATAGAAGGGAGATCGAATGCTGTTTGCCTCTCTCCTTTTGACTCTTTTCACTTAGCACTCTACCCTCAAGGTCCCAACAAATGCAGATTCGGAGGACAGAGAGGTGGTTACCAGGGCGTCAACCCATGGTGATGAATGGACTAGACCAGTGGTCGGCAAACTCATTAGTCAACGGAGCCAAATATCAACAGTACAACGATTGAAATTTCTTTGGAGAGCCAAATTTTTTAAACTTAAACTATATAGGTAGATGCATTGTTATTAATTTAATTAGGGTACTCCTAAGGCTTAGGAAGAGCCACACTCAAGGGGCCAAAGAGCCGCATGTGGCTCGCGAGCCGCAGTTTGCCGACCACGGGACTAGACTTTTTGGGGTGATCAGTTTGTCACGCATACAGATATTCAATTATGATACTGTACCAAATTAAAAAAAAAAAGTGAGCACATCACCCTCCAGGGAATTTGATCTTGTCTCAGGGAGATGCTCTCAGACCTCTCATCACTGACTCTCTAATCTGGTCTGAGACAGACAGGCTGCTCTGGCTGCTGAGTGCTCAGGCTTGGTCAGGGCTGGCCCGAGGCGCCAGGCGTCAGAGGCCCCCAGTCCTGGCCCCCACGCCTACCTCCCCCACAGCGTTGGAGAGGATGTGGACGATCTTCTCATGCGGGGTGGCGACCACGCTCTGCCCGTTGATCTCGATGATCCGGTGCCCCACGCGGACGCCTCCCCTCTCGGCTATTCCCCCTCGCATGAGGCTGCAGATCTGTTGGAGACAAAGGCCAGGTTACCCCTCGAGGGCGGGGAGCTGGGTGGGGACAGAGCCTGTCCTTTCTGGAGGCCCTGCTCCTCGCCCTCTCATCTCCGAGAAGCTGCCACGGGCAGGCTTCGTGCATTTAAATCTCCTTGTTGCTCTTCACAGGAAACAGGGTTCTGTGCGGCCACGTGGCCAGCTCCTTCGTGCACTTTGCACATCACTGGGTTTCACGCACACGGAATCCTGCCTACTTTTCATCCCAGCAGAGTCTCCGTAAAAAGAGCTATTGGGGGCTGTCACTGAGCTGCCAACATTTTCAAACTGTCAGCCTGTGTAACTCAGGTGAGTTTTATTTCCCACAATCACCGGGGGCTCAAATGACAAAACGTATAATGCTAGCAGCCACTTTTTAGGGTCACAGTGACATGAGCCAAACTGGGGCTGGAACCCCACTCCATGTTCCAGGGGGCCAGCTGGAGGGGAGCTGCTCCTTCCGGCCTTCCCAGCTCAGTGCCCTGGTCAAACGCCCTTCTCCCAGAAATGACAGCGGCAGGGCTGTGTCCAGGAGGGCAGAGGCTGCCGGCTGGCGGAAGGGAGCCGGCACTTCCTCATTTGGAGGGTTCTGGGCTGGGCACCGCAGGGGATAGCCACCTCCACCTCACACCCAAAACAGTCGGAATTTCCCCAGAAGAATATGTTCTGAATTTACAAAGTTGACTTTTCACTGGGACGGTGAGCCACTATTTAAAAGCCTACACAGCCCTAGCCAGTTTGGCTCAGTGGATAGAGCATCGGCCTGCGGTCCCAGGTTTAATTCTGGTCAAGGGCACATGCCCGAGTTGCAGGCTCGATACCCAATAGGGCGTGTGCAGAAGGCAGCTGATCAATGATTCTCCCTCATCATTGATGTTTCTATCTCCCTCTTTCCCTCTCCCTCCTCTGAAATCAATAAAATATATTTAAAAAATAATAAAAGCCTACGCAGATGAGACTCTTGCGACAACACACCTCCTGCTCTGTGAGCACGTGGAGACCTGCAGCCCCCCAGGTACCCTTGGCCAGAAGTTCCTAAGGTGCAGACCACACTTCAATGAGAATGAGGCCCAACAGACCCACATCTACTAAGTAAGAACCTTTTGATCCTATTTGAACTTTTAATATTATTCAAATAGGAACAAAGCAAACAGGGGAGTATAAACGGATAGAAACAGGATGTCAGACTAAACCAGTGGTTGGCAAACTCATTAGTCAACAGAGCCAAATATCAACAGTACAACGATTGTAATTTCTTTTGAGAGCCAAATTTTTTAAACTTAAACTATATAGGTAGGTACACTGTTATTAACTTAATTAGGGTACTCCTAAGGCAGTGATGGCGAACCTATGACACGCGTGTCAGAGGTGACTCGAACTCATTTTTTTTGGTTGATTTTTCTTTGTTAAATGGCATTTAAATATATAAAATAAATATCAAAAATATAAGTCTTTGTTTTACTATGGTTGCAAAGATCAAAAAATTTCTATATGTGACATGGCACCAGAGTTAAGTTAGGGTTTTTCAAAATGCTGACACGCCGAGCTCAAAAGGTTCGCCATCACTGTCCTAAGGCTTAGGAAGAACCACACTCAAGGGGCCAAAAAGCCGCATGTGGCTCGCGAGCCGCAGTTTGCTGACCACGGGACCAAACCGATAAGGAGCTCCTCCCTGAAAAGCAAACAACGCTCCACAGGTCCAGAGGTCAGATAACGTGGGCTGGGTGTCTCACCTCCCACAGGGAACTTCAAATGGGTATTTCCAAACCTTAAAACATACTTGAAATAACATTTTGATTATCTACAACGTTTAACTGAAATTTAAGGAGGAAAAATGAGTAATTTTTTTTTTAAATCTGGGAGGATGAAAATCAAGAGGTTACAGAGGACAGATTGGCCACCCAAACCCAGAATGATGATGAGAGCAGAAAGGCATGCTGGGCAAGAGGAAGGGGTACTGAGTGGGGGAGTTTCTGTCTGCGATGAAGAGAAGGTCTAGAAAGGGTGATGGCCATATCACTTGCTGCAGGTACTTAATGCCCTTGAATTTTATGCTTCAAAATAGTTTAAGTGGTCAATTTAAGGTGTGTGTTTTACCACGAGGAGAAAGGGATACAAATACTCTGTATTCCCAACGTGCCAACTGAGGTTAAAAGGCAAAGCACAGCCCGGCTGGTGTGGTTCAATGGTTGAGCATCGACCTATGAACTAAGAGGTCACAGTTGGATTCCTGGTCAGGGCACATGCCCGGGTTGTGGGCTCTCTCTCATTATTGTTTCTCTCTCTCCCTTCCTCTCTGAATATACACACACACACACACACACACACACACACACACGTGTATATATATAAGCACAGATTAGTCCTGCACATGGGGCGGGGTTCCCAACCTGAGCCGTGAGCTGGAATCGCCGGCAGCTTTGAAGTGCCCTCCCCCTCCTAGTGCTCCATACCCTGGCATGGGGACAGCAGCACCCAAGGGTGGGGACAGTCCCCAAGGCTAAAGGGGAAGGAAGCCCGAGCTGGTACGCCCCAAGCTACCTCACGTTAGCAGCTGGGAGGCCACCACGCCCTGGGCTCTGAGGCCAGGGCTCTGAGCAGGGCCTCTCTCTCCTCACGTTGAAAGGCAGAGATTCTCCATCCAAAGAGGAAGCCGAGCCTGCCTTCACCCATTCATTCCCTTCCTCGCTGGATTCTTTCAGGGAACGGACCAGCTTTAAAAACTTAAACTAAAATACCAAACTGTGTCACATTTGCGTCTGGCTTTTGGAAAAGGGCGTGGAGTTGTACTTACAATTCCGTTCTGGACACTGAAACCCAGCTGGTAGCGAAGGTCCGGCCTCCGGATCAGCACGGTGGTCACCGGCGGGCACCTCACAATGTTCAGCTTCACCCGGGCCTGGTTCTTCAGGCCCTGAAAATGAGCAAAGCACCGTGGATGTGCGACCACGCAGGCAGGCAGGCGGCAAAGGAGCCCCAGTGAGGATCTGTCACTCCGTGGACTCCCCAGGTTCCCGCAGTCCACTGCTCGGGAGAAACCGCCTGCCTCACATGGAGCCCTTGCGTCCTGTGCAGAGACCAGCGACCAGGGCGCTGTCTTCACTCTGGGAGGTGGGCTGTTCAGAGACCTGAAGAAAGGGGTCGTCGTGTGCTCTCGGCTTGGAGGATGAGGGAGGCACAGTGTCCCCCCTGGTCAGGAGACACACAGTGGGAAACGCCTTTTCTCCGAAAGGCACACTCAAGCAAAGGACATCCAATCCCAGCAGCTGGCCCGATGCGCCAGGCTTGTTTTCCCTGCGGCTCGAATGCTCCTTTTCCCCACCCCCTGTGCCTGTCAGAGTTCATCAATGTCCCCCAGGCTCTGGGAAAGCAGGGCGGGCAGGGCTCTCCCGAGGCCTCCGGGGGAGAAGGAACAGGGCATTGCTGGGAAGGAGGGGAGGAGAGAGGGAGGCTGGGGGTTGTCAGGTTACAGGATCTTGCTGACACTCCCTACCCTCTAAGTCAGGATGGAGTGCAGAGGGGAGGGTGGTTTTTAAAGATAAAAAGGGGACCTGGCCTGGTTTCAGAGCCCGTTTACAGAGCTTCCTCTGCCCATTCTTGGCTACGCTGAGCTCAGGCCCACGCTCCTGTCCCCTGGCCACTCACAGCAATGACCTGGTCTGCTCAGGAAGTCACCTCAGTGGGGGGGCAGTTTGGCTCCTCCAGGTCCTACCACCAACTGTGAACTTCCTCTTAAAAGGAGGCGCCAGACACTAGTACAGCCCCAGAATCAAGGTCCACCTCCCAGATCTTGAGACCACCTGCTCTGCCCTGTGAACAAACGCCTGCCCTGCCCAGCGAACGCCTGCCCTGCCCAGCGAACGCCTGCCCTGCCCAGCGAACGCCTGCCCTGCCCAGTGAGCGCCTGCTCTGCCCAGTGAGCGCCTGCCCTGCCCAGCGAGCGCCTGCCGGCTGGAGGGTCCAGACCAAATGGCCGACAGCAGGCATTTCCCAACCTGTTTCTAGTCACGTACACAGAGAAAAAGACATGGACTTGCACCCTTTGGCTGGAGGCGCTGCTGCCCAGGCCCTGCTCCAAGGGTTGAGGTGGGCAGATCTCAGCACGCCTGCCCCACTGACTTCCATCTGAGGAGGCCAGCTGACGGGAAAGGCTCAAGGTCAGCCCCAGTGCCTACCCTCCAAAGGGTCAGAGGGGAGAGGGAAGCTGTTCCTAAACGAGGGGCCTGTGGGTGGGCGGGCAGCCTCTCCTCCAGCAGCCACCGAGCAGGCACAGGTGTCCAGGACCAGCCACTGAGGGACAGGTGTCCAGGACCAGCCACCGAGGAGGGGCAGGGACCAGCCAGGGTGCGCTGTGGGACAGGGGCCAGCAGCATTGGGGTGTGGGTGAGGCTTGTGGGCGAGTTGGTTGGCCAGATGCCCAGTCGGCCATCTGTATGTGTGAGTGCCCCTGAGACTGCTGTCCCTCAACACCCATGCTGATGTTGAAACCTGCCGAGCCACCTGTCCCTGAACCCCGACTCCTGCCAGGCCCTGACCTGGAGGCTCGCAGGAGCTGTCTCCTCTCATGTCCTTGATAAAATGGCAGCTATAATTAGGCCGATTTTATAAAAGAAGAAACAGGCTCAGAGCTACCAAACAACACACCCAAGTTCACCCATATCAACATGCAACCCCAGGTCTGTCTGGGTTCAAACCCAAGGCGTTTCTCCTCCGCCCTGATCCCCCACAGACCACGGGAAAGACCCTGTCATTCAGGAGTCAGGCTTGCTCCACCCAGGAGCCAGGGAGAGCCACAGAGGATCGAACATGTGCCCCATGCCTTTCCTTCCAGCCTCGTGTGGGCTGTGTTTTCAGCTGGCTTTCCTACCTGGCGAGGGTTCTTCAGGGGCCCCGCTGGGGCTTCCCACCCCCTTTAATCTGTTCCAGTTTGTCCCCTCACGTGTGCATTTTGAGGGGCTCCGTTCAGGCTCCCACCTCCAGCGTCTCGGCCTGTTTCCTGAACTGCTCTGTTTTCTGTGGGGTGTGAGCCTCCCACCGGCTGTAATCTGGCTTCCGGTGACTTGGTGCACACACACAGGCAGCAGTTACCAGCGTCTCCCGTGGCTTCTGGAACATCTCTGGGAAACCGCTCTGGTTCGAGAAATGATGATTTCCGAGTGCAGCAGCGGAGGAGCTGAGCGGGATTCTCCCTGGCCTTCTGCAGGTCAGCAGGCCCACCGTCCACGCTGAGCTCTGGCTTTTGCTGCCGACAGCAGGGCTTGGTGCAGAGGACTCTGCTGTGTCCGGAGACCTGGGCTCAAGCTGTCTGTCTGCTGCTATGAGCTTGGGGGCTCGGACGCTCTGCGCCCCTCCTTCCCCTCAGTCTCCTCAGGTGCCACCCACTAACGTCTCTTCCAGTTCTCATTTCTGATTTCACCCCTCCTTGTGCTTTTTTTTCTTTCCTAAATATGTTTGCCGACACCACACTGTGCTTAGCAACACCTATTTCTAAAATTAAAAACAGGTAGGCAGAGGGTTTTGCTCAGACATCATTCATGCGTGTATTTCTTTTCCCTTTGAGTGCTTCCTTTTTCTCGTTCACTTAATAAATATTATAGACCATTTGCAATGTGCCAAGAAATGTGTTAGGCGCTGGGAGTGGCTGGAGCGGGGCCTTAGGAGCTCAGGACAGGGCTTCAGGGCACATGGCTGAGCAGCTAGAGGGCTTGAGTCCCTTTACTCTTCTCTCTCTCTCTCTCTCTCTCTCTCTCTCTCTCTCTTTCTCTCTCTCTTCACAATCACACCCCATGACACCAGGAATTTGTGGGAAGCAAGAGCAAAGAATGCTGAAACAGAGGAGCGCGTTAGAACCACAGCCCTTCAGACAAAGCCACCTGCTCTGAATGTTTACACCTGCTATTCAGGTGTGTCTGTGAGGTGCAGGAGCGCCCCTCAGTGCCTTGCAGAGCATACGAAAAGCAAGAGCAGGACTGTTTCCCCAATGCCACCTAAGGAGTTCACAGTGCTCCGGTGGGCTCCCTTCGGCGTGAACCGATTTAAGAGGCCTGACTTGTCGCCCAGCGAACAGATTTCTAGATGGGGATGGGTGCTGTGTGGTGAGGCTTAGCGAGGTGGCAATTTGAAACCACCAGACCATGCGTTTGCTTGGCTGTTCCTAATCAATGCTTCAAGTTGGGTCCCATTAGCGTGTATTTCTGAGCTGCCATTTTATTAGAGGTGCCAATGAAATGAATGGTCATTTCGTCCCCATGACAACGGTGGAATGGTACGGCACATTAAGAAATCTGGTGGGAGGGTAAGGGTAGGAAAGTGGGGAGGGGAGAAGAGAGAAGCCAGAGTGGTCTCCATGGCAACAGGCAAGCAGAACCAGGTGATCCTGTGGAAGGAAGGGGGAGCAGTGCTCTAGTTTAAGAAAGAAAGAAAAAAAAAACAATCAGGAGGGCAGGACCATGGAGGCAGTGAGCAGGCCCACCGCTAACATGCTTAGCCTACCAAGTATTATGCTTTGGGAATTATGACGGGAAAAATAAGCCAGGGAAGAAAGCAATTAAAAAAATTCAATACCTGTAACTCCATTCTAGAAATGTATTCTATTTCCTATAATTAGGGAGAGAAAGGTCAGCATGCATGGAAGTGGCCAGACACGGACTACAAGGCTTTTCCTAAAGCACAGCCTGGGATTGGTGATCACCACCCGGGAGCCAGAATCCCACCCCCGACCTGCTGAACCGGAACCTGCATTTTAAACGAGTTCCCGGGTGACTGCAATCAAAGTCTGTGAAGCACCGATTTGGCAGGATGAGAGCAGCTTGTTAAATCCGCCGAGGGAGCACTGACACACACAGAAATAAGCAATGCTAACAGGGAGCCCCCAAGAGGCCCAGAGCATTCCCTGCAGCGCCCCCAGGTGGTGGGGGAGGGAGAGCGAGCATCTGCTCAGGTGCAGGCAAAGGAGTGTGTTGTCTAGAATTCAAAAACAATCCACTAAACCTTTTCATTCCGTTATGGCAATCCAGCTGGAAGCAGTGGTAACATTTTCCCAGCCAGGGGGCGCTGTGGCTGAGCCGGTCACACTTTTCCCTTCCACAAAGCTGTGCCTGGGCCACCTGGGAGGGCAGCTGTGTCCTAATGGGGCTGCCCACCAGGTTCTTCTCTGCTGAGGGCAACACGGAGGCATGGGTGTCCTCACCATCTTCACCAGTGACACCTCTTTCCTCACTACACGGCCTTTTAATTTGCCGATTTCACAGACGCTCCATGTACAGACATCAAAGGTCAACTATTCACGCAAACAAACCCTTTCCCGGAGGAAACTGCTCAGACAGTGCTGACTACTCTGAGCGAGCTTCCCTTCCACCTCGCTGTGTGGTCCACCGGACAGAGGGCGAGTCCCCGTGTGGTACCAGGGGAAGTCTCGCTGCCCGCATGGGCCTCAGCCTATCCCATCTCACCGGTCTCCTTCCTGCAGGGGCAGGGAGGGGCGGAGGGGGATCTGGACTTGTGTGTGTGTGTGTGTGGGGGGGGGGGGGTCCAGGGCCAGTTACCTTCAGAGTCTCTGATGACCCATCTGCAAACCAGGTGTTTGCTGACCCTCCCTAATGGGATGTCTGTCATGAGGAGGGAGAGGGGGTGACTCTGAAGGGCCTGGCACTGCCTGGCAGGTGCGTCATGGGCACTGGCATGCAGCCCCCCAGTCCTCACGGGGTCCTGCTTATTCCCACCCAGGCCCCAGCCCCGCCTCACTCAGGTTGTCCCCACTTCCTGCTCCTCCTCCCCAAACCTTTCTAGACCCAGATCAAGTC